GTTATAGAAACAAATATTTGTACCTGCTGACATCCTTATGAACATATACGACTTTCATTTTGGTTGTTGTACACAATTATTTAGATGATTGTTAATTGATGTGTTGTGTGGATTTGTTGGTGTCAATATGAAGTACTGGTGTGTTGTGTATTGTTGCTGGTGTGTCGCATGATACTGCTGGTGTGTTGGAACAAATAATTTTTTTGTGTTGAATAAAAATTAGAAGGGATATAGTCTTATTTATATTGAAAAAATGTGACCATTAAAAAATATAAATATTGAAAAAATATATATTTCAAATGTTGAAAAAATTAAATAATTAATTGTGATTCACTAATCAATTATAAATAAAGACTAAATTTAAAGACAAATTTAATATTGTTATTATTTAGTAAACAATTAAAGAAGGGTAAAATAATCTTTTATTTATTTATCATTTTTTAATTCATCCAACTAAACATTAGATTCACTAAAAAAAAATTTTAATCCTATAAAAAAAAAACAAAAACAAAAACAAAAACAAAATACACATCAAATCTAACCAAATAATACAAGAGACAAATAATTCCAAAATTCCAGTCCAATAAATTTTAATCCCCTGGTCCACTCCTTCAATCAAACACACCTAAGGTCTTTATTGTGGGTGTTGGTGGATTACCAGCAGAGTAGTGCGAGTTCGGTACCGATTCGAGAAGTGCAAGCCCTGGTTGATCCATTACGCCCCTCATCTCTACCCCGATCTTCTCAAAGGTCTTCATTTCATTCCTCGAATCGATTTCTATCTAATGCAATTTCATATTCAATTTTTGCTTTATTTATTTTTTATATTTGGGTATGTTTCAGAGGCGAATGCAAAGGAAGCTGATCAAGTCTCCGATCAATTCCAATGCGCTTCAATCTCCGACGCAACTGCCTCTTCTGGTAATTCAATTTTTGGGTTTTATATATTAGGTCGATAGATTTTGATGAATGAGGAAGATTTGTTGAATTTGAAAACCATTTATTTAGCTGTTATTTACGGGATGTGGAGTTTTAAATTAACCGAATTATGGTTTTGGGGAAGAAAAAAAAAAAGTGTGAGCAATTAACAATTTTATGGGCATTTTCAACAAAAGCAAAAAATAAAAAAAATAAAAAAAATGATGAAGTTTTGGAAAACATTCACACATGTGCACTTTATATAATAACGGTGGTGGTGCAAATGTGAATTGTTTGCAATTTTGCATTTAAATTTTTGGATGGTTTGATGATTGAGGGGCGGTTTTATGAATGGGAAAAATTGTTTAGTAGTAATTGGATGTGGCAGTTACTAGATTTGTTTTTTTTTTGTTTTTTTTTTGTTTTTTTTTTTTTAAAAGATTGGATGGCAGTTACTAGATGGGAAGGGTATTCTTGAAAAAAAAGCGGGACAACATTGGCGCCAATATTAGCAGTGGGTGCAAACATTTAACGTTGTGTTTGGTTGGGAATTTGGGAAGGAATTTGGAAAGGAAATAGGAAAAATTAGGTAAAATGTGAATAAAATATTCCTACATTTCACCTAGTTTCACACACCTTTTCTCTTTCCTTTTCTAAATCCCTTCTCAAATCTTCCCACCAAACATAGCATTAATGCTCCCTTTTGCTTTCTTCTTCTATCCGCTATTGTTTTAAGGACCTGAAGTATATTTTTAAGGGAGAATTACATCCTAGTGGGACAGGTTTTTTTTTTTTTACACAAATATGGAGGGGTTGCACCCCACAGCATTTCACTTGTGTCCCATCACAGAATCACTTGTATCTCACTTGTTTTTGTAATTTTTTTTACTTATTCCCACTGTGCTGTAATTTTCCCTATTTTTAACATATCTAAAGTGAATGCAGGCTGGAGTTTTACTGTTAAACCCCTTGTTTTGTTTTTTTGTTGTTTTTTTAATATTGGAGTTTCCAAGTTGCAGATGGGAAAGATACTATTAAAAAAATTTGAGGCATTAGAAATCTTTGCACATATTTCTTATGTTTTTTTGTTTTACATTAAGAAGTTAATTGTGCCTAATATGTGGAAAAGAAACATGATACAATAAATGATTTTGTCAATTATCAAATTTTGAACTAATTTCTTTTTTTTTCTTCTTGTGTAGTCTTTGTCACATTGGTTTCCTCTGTTGTGTTTAAAAATGAATATATTGTCAAGTTTACTGTAATCCTTAATGACAGAGATATGCATTGAATTCTTTTCACAATACCTTGGTTTGTCAGTTCTAATTAATGTGGCTCCTTTGTTTGACGACTTAAAAAATCAATTTGCACAAAGTGTATGTTTATTTTTGTCATATTCCTTTGAGGATTCTTCTAGATTGTAGATACTGCTTGCAAACACAAACTATAATCAATTTTCACCACCCCAAAATCCCACTCGTTTGGTTGCAGGTGGTTCAACTTCTAAGCAAGAAGTAAAACACCTTCCTGGTGGGAAGATAAAAAAGAAGGTAAGAGGCTGTTTCTCTCCGCCATTCGAAGTGTATAAATTGCTTCTTCAGGATAACATTGTTCTCATAACATTAAGAGCTTCCCAGAATGATTTCTTTGTTTTCACACTAGAGTAGTGGGCAATATTCCATTGATTTGTCTGCTCAATGCTGTAAATCTAATATCCTTGAGTGAATGGTGAATTATTAGCTTACATGGATGCCTTGTTTGTGAAGGAAGAACATAGGCTAATTAAAGCAACTTTTCTGATGCCTAAAATTCAAACCACAGATCAAGAATGAAGCTCTAGGATAAAAACTATTGCTCTTCCTCATATTGGATTTTCAACAAATGAGGGAATCCAAAACTTATTGTTCCTTGAGAAAAACCTTTGGTCTAGAGTGGTGTCTTACGAAATCAACAAGAGTTTTTGATGTATTTTAAAAATACACCTTATAAAGTTCTTTCTCTGTTTAGAAGTATATACCAGTCATAATAGATTATTGTTGGGGACTGGGGAGCATTTTCAATGGTGTCAAAATTGAGTGAGAAGCCTATGTAAGTCAGTAAAATATGGGTGTTTTGGAATTGATGGACTCCATGAATTAAAAATGAGCCTTTTGTTTTCTGTCCTGAACTTTTGTGGTATTGGATATTGAAGGAATAGGCCTTCTAACCTTTCAGTGGATTCTAAGTCCATTTCTTTTTCTTTTAGCTATCAATATTCTCTTCCTCTGCATGTCTCATTCCTCACATCCATTTATAGCTCGTATCCACGACAATTCCTGATTTTTACTTTAAAGCCTATAAATTTACTCATAAGCCCTAGTTGGCCAGCAAGGTTCTAAAAAGCGGTTGCAGTCGCCGTAACGGTAGCGGTGGCGCGGTTGCGGTTGCGGTTGCGGTTGCGGAGTGTAAAGGCCGTAACATAACGGTTGCAGTAACCAGAACCGTGAATTTTTTTATTTTTCGCACAATTTGAAAAAAACTTACCGATACGCATATTTTTTTTCCATGATCATATTTATTGGGTTTAAAATAAATATTGATCAATTTTTAACATCAAGGTTCTGAAAAGCGGTTGCAGTCACTGTAATGGTGGCGGTGGCATGGTTGCGGTTGCGAGGTGTAAGGCCGTAGCGTAACGGTTGCAGTAACCGGAACCGTGGATTTTTTTTTTTTTTCGCACAATTTGAAAAAAACTTACCGATACGCACACTTTTTTCCATGATCATATTTATTGGGTTTTAAAATAAATATTAATCAATTTTTATAAATTTTTAAGTTTCATCCAATATATTTCATATTTTTAAATCACTATAAACTGAGTTTTTTACATTTTATTTTAATAATTAATGACTTTATATTATACAAAAAATCAATCACTGACTCTTATATATAAGATAAACAATGACAAATGTAAGAGAATAAATAAAAGCCTAAATATATATATATATATATATTAATCAAGCCAAATAGATAATGACCACACTTATTATTATTATTATTTTCAAACAATATATAGATAGACGCACTCAAACAAAATGGTTGAATGATAACAGCTGAATAGAATAGCATAGGTCTTACAATTTCAACAAATCAATAACATGTTTTTCATCATTGCTCCTCTCTCTCTATCTCTTGCTCCTCCATCTTCTCTCTATCCCTCTTCCCCCATTTTTAGCTTCTTTTTTTTTTTGTGTGTTTTTTTCAAAAGAAGCAGTTCGGAACCGTTACGTAACGGTGCGTAACAGGCCGCTACAGTTGTTATTGCACCGTTACGACCGCTACAACAGCTGCTACGGTCGACACACTTGTGAATCTCAATCACACTGCAAAAGCGGCTGTAACGGGTGGCGGTAACCTATGAAGCACAGACACGGACATGGACACGGATACGGACACGGGACACGACAATTTCTAAAAAATGAGGACACGGACACGACAGGGGACACGGTGATTTTATATATATATATATGTATATATTTTTATGTGTTATGTAGATTCGTATTACATTCATTCTAAATCAAAATTAACAAACACTAATATAGTACCATTAATTCAATAAATATAAGAAAGGCAAAAGATTCAACATCCAACAATAACATCCAACATCTAACATCCAACAATATTCTTCACAAAAACACTAAATAAGAGACAAAGAAGAAGAAAAAAAAGAAAAAGAAAAAAAAGAAGTAGGCCTTTCAAAACTTCAAGTAGATCCAATTTCTTGCACGTCTTCATCATCATTAGCATCACCACCTTTTTCTTCGTTTGCACCTCCATCATCTGTAAACAGCACAACCTCCATCTCAGGTTCATCAAGTGACAGATTTGCAACCTCAAGCATTCCAGCATCATCAAATGAATCAAATGTGTTGCCCGCAATATCCCATAACTTGGTCTCTCCTTCATGGTATTGTGGGGTTCTCCTTGATAAAAGACGGAGGTTGCTATGAACAAAAACCAAGTCCTCTGCACGTTGGGGTGTCATCTTGTTTCTTCTCATTGAATGGATAAAAGAGTATATACTCCAATTCCTCTTAGCACATGATGAAGAAGAAGGTTGCACAAGTAGCCTTAAAGCCAAAGATTGAAGAGTGGGTGCAGATGCACCATGAACAACCCACCAACTATGAGGATCCATATCACATCTATCTCCAATGGAATCAATGTCAGCAAATGGCCCCTCTTTTGTTGAGAACTTAGCATACTCCAAATTTGCTTTAGTGCGCTCCATTGGATCATTAAAGAACCTTTTCAAGCACTTTTTTCTCTCAAGACAAACCTCTTCATCCCTATGTGGGGGAACTCGGCTTGGATCCTCATGAAGCCACACATCACTATAATACCTAAAATGAAAAAAAAAGTACTAATTATAAATGTGAAAGAATAATATTAAACTTAAATTAATAAAAATAGTAAATTGTGTTTTAATCACCTTGGATTCAATGAGTGTGCCAAGCAATGAAGTGGTGTGTTGTTCTTGTTCCACCGGTCTACAAGAATCTGATGTACTACATTATAGAATGTAGACTCATCTTCTAGTCACTTTCCTTCATGCTTATATATCACCATCTTCACTTTTTCTATCATTGTATCCCCACATGTCATATACTAAGTGAAGAGAAGGTCTACGGTGTCACAAACTCTAATCATGTCATAAATAGGAACAGTAAAGGAAAGTATGTAGTCAACTTGATCCCACCAAAAGTCATCCAATAACTTATCCTTCACAAACTTGGCCTTGCCAATATCATCATCATCCCTATAACAACTCCATTTGTCATTGATTACCATTGTTTGGAGACCTTGCTTTATCAACTTGACCCTCTTAAGCATGACAATGGAAGAAGCAAAGCGTGTCTCGGCAACTGAAAGAAGCTTCAAACTCACAAACTTATTGTACACTGCTAACCTCATGGAATGATTACAAATAAAATTCTTGATCATCATCACATCACCTACAATCTCACTAATCCAATTACACTCTTCAAATGCAACTGAATTATTTTCCACATTCTTGGCAGCACAAATATTCTTCAAGGCAAGATTGATGGTGTGCACAACACAAGGAGTCCAAAAGATGTGAGGAAATTGTGCTTCAATTAGGTGCCCGGCTGCCTTGCAATTTGCGGCATTATCTATAATGACTTGAACCACATTTTTAGGCCCAACCTCCATAATTACTTCCTTCATCAAGTTGGAAATGAAATATTTGTCCTTTGTTTCCCCTGAACAATCAACCGCTTTAAGAAACATAGGCCCACCTCCGGTAACAGCCATAGAATTTATTAATGGCCTTCGTTGGGAATTACTCTATCCATCACTGACTATACTCACCCCCTTCTCTCTCCATGAGCCTCGAATAGGATCTAACAACCTATCAATGTTTATCCTTTCTTTTTGAAGCAATGTAGTTCTCAACATGTTATACCCAGGTGGTACATATCCTTGTATGTTGTTATTTGCAACAAAAGTAAATGCACTAACATAGTAAGGATTTCTTGCCAAATGAAATGGCAAGCCTACTGAATAAAACATTCTAGCTATCTCACTATTTAGTCGTTCTCGAGCCCCAATGTTAAATGCTTTCATAACAGGGTTACTACTACTTCCACTCCCTAAAGCAGTTGACCTCTTCCTTTTTGATCCATATATCTCCTCTGGTTCATTAAAACATAAACCTAATGATGCACTTGAACTAGGAGGAGGCAATGGGACTTTCTTCAACCTAGAGTTTTTCAATTTCAACTCTGCTTCTGCAATTGCTCTCTCAAAATCAGCTTTATCCTTTCTTGTTACTTTTGGACACACTTCTATCCCCTGATTTTTAATTTATATCAAATGGGCTTTTACCCTAGTGTATGAACCTTTACGTGTAACCCGACAAAAGTTACATTGAAAAGTATAATTCCCCCCCTTTGCACCAGATTTTTCTAATCTTGTCACATATTTCCACAGTGGCTTATCATCTTCAGCATCAAAGGCAGATGGTGTGTTATTGGCAGAATTTGAACTAGACATTTTTCCTATAAATTAACATTAACATTAGAAGGATAAATAAAAAAATAAAAAAAAACAAAAAAAAGAGCTTAAATAGAATTTAAATAAAACAGAATTTAAACATACAATTAAAAAAAAAAGCCTCATCTAAATAAAGAGTTTAAATAAAAAAAACAGAATTTAAATACAGTTTTATATATATACATATATATAAACATATAATTAAAAAAAAAAAAGTTCTTGCATATATATATATATATAAACGTATGAACAAATAAAAATAAAAATAAAAATAAAAAAGAGTCTTGCGTATAATATATATCAAAATAAAAAAAAATAAAAAAAAGTCTTATTAATATATATCAAAATAACAAATAAATAAATAAAAGAGTCTATTACATATAACATATATAAACGTAAAAAAAAATAAAAATAAAATAAAAATCAGTCTCATCTCAGTCGAAAGCTGAGAGAGAGAGAGAGAGAGAGAGAGCGAAAGAGAAGGAGACAGAGGCGAAAGAGAAAGAGAGCGAGAGACGCAGAGAGAGGGGCTTACCTTCGAAGACGACTGGATCGACTGAAACAGAGACTGAGACGACTGGATCAGAGGTCTTCGATCGACGTCGGAGGGCTGCGACTGAGAAACAGAGCTTCGATCGACTTCAGAGGGCTTCGACTGAGAGAGAGAAGGTCTTTGTAGGTCTGATTTTACTCCTTTACTCCTCAGTTGTTCGATTAGGGCTTGCCCATTGTTTTTCTTTTTTTTTTTTACTTTATAAATATTATACTTTGACCCCAAATAAATATAAAAAATTCAAAAACGAGCCCCGTCGTGTCCCATGGCGTGTCCAGAAATGGACAAGCGTGTCCCCGCCGTGTCCCCTTTCAAAAAAATCATTAAATTAAAGGGACACGCCATCTGGCGTGTCCCGTACGTGTCCACGGCGTGTCCCCGTGTCCCCGGCGTGTCCACATGTCGGACACTGCTACGGCATCAATTTTGGAGTGTCCATGCTTCATAGGCAGTAACCACCAAAACCGTTACGTAACGGTTGCGGCCGCTTTTTAAAACCCTAGTTAATTGATTGGATCATTGGAGGTAGCCTTGCTAGCTACTTTAGTGCAGTCTGTTAATATGTGGTGTTAAAGTGAACCTGGTTTACATGTGTTACTGCATGGAGTAACCTAGTTGACTATTGTTGTAGGTAGAACTAGATTCTTGTTCATCACCTCTAGATATTGTGCTCTACCTCTCAAACATGTTCTCAATCTTTCTGAAAATACCCAAACACCATTACACAGCTATAGTGATTTTTTATTAGGCATCCATGAAACAGTAAGCTTCATGAGGAGCCATTTTTGCATCCTACGGGTTAGCAGACACCATACTAAACTCCTAGAAATGTGTCAGACAGGTGGCCAGAAGAAAAGAAGCATGGAAGGGACACGTGTATACTGGTGGATATAAACTCCAGTATACATAAAAAGTGACGTTATGATCTTCATTGAGCTTATCTGTACAGTTTTGCATGGGTTTATATAGTAACCTATGAAGCATGGACACTCCAAAATCGGTGCCGTGGCGGTGTCCGACACGGGGACACACCGGGGACACGTACGGGACACGCCAGATGGTGTATCCCTTTAATTTAATGATTTTTTTTTGTAGGGGATACGGCGGGGACACGCATATCCATATCGGGACACAGCAGGGCTCATTTTTTTTTTTTTGCCTTTTATTTAGTGCTTCTGTGAAGAATATTGTTGGATGTTGAATGTTTTCCTCTTCTTGTCTGAGTTCTTATTATCGTTTATTATGACTTTTTTGTGAATGGATGATTTGTTAATTTGTTTAAATGTAGTGGTTATATTTAATGAACTAATGTTACTATGTTAGTATTTGTTAATTTTGATTGAGGATGAATGTAATATGAATCTACATAACAAATAAAAATATATAAAAAAATAGAAAACAATTCGCCGCGTCCCCCGCCGTGTCCGTGTCTCCATTTTTTAGAAATTGCCGTGTCCCGTGTCGGTGTCCATGTCCATATCTGTGTCCGTGCTTCATAGATAGTAACTTATATAATTCAGTCCAACTTATGTATTTGTTGCATATAGAATGTACATGATTTTAATTATTGCCATGTACTTGTTGTCATGTCACTGTTTTTAATACAGGATTTTAGCTTATCCTTACTTGTCATGGTTTGTGTGGGGCTAAATTCCTCACTGTAGAGAGCAAGATGACTGTATGAGCATCCAGATCCCTGCCAAAGAGCACAACTGATGAGAGCTGCCCAACCAAAGTTTTTCAGTATGAGGGGGCTCCAATGGTCAAGTTGGTGAAAAATGTTCTTGAATAGGAACATGGAATATGAATACAATAGTGGTGCTAGTGATTTTTCATCTCTTTCCTTCCCTCTCCCCTTTTATACAGTCTGGTGATATCATTTGAGGCTGATTTTCTTATGGAATAGCTTTTTGTAAATAGTTCAGCCGCTATTCCAGTGTTGGCAGGCCTCTGCGTGGTGCTGCTCACTGCCTTGTCAATCAAATATGATCAGCAAGATGACTAGCTTTCTTGGTGACTTCAACTTCATCCCATCTCATACCTGATGTCCTTTGGTCAGGGGTCTTGTGCTTATTGTGATGAGTTTAGTTGGCACACAATTCCCAATCACCAGTCCTTTTTGGCCAGGCCTCCTCTTACTTAGCCATCTGGGCCTCCTTTTCTGGTCTTGTCCATCCTCGTAGGCCTGCCTCTAATTGCAGTTTGTCTCCTTACCACACGTTTAATTGTTAACCCAAGGTTTTGACATGTTCCTTACAACATCTGCTTCATGGTCTCCTCTCTAAGGTTTTTACATTTATTGTTTTTGACACTCTGTATGCCTAGAATAAGAATCTGGGTAAGAGTAATTATGTAGAGGTGCTAGGACTTTTGTTTATGTCCAATTGTAACTTATTTTTGCTTTGATTTCATTTTTGTAGGATAGACAAGAAGTAGTCATAGAAAAGGTGGTTCGGAACAGGCGAAAATGCATCACCACTGTGAAAGGCGTGGACTTTTTGGTAAGAAATATGCTTGAATTAATTGTTTTGTTTTCTAAATTTTAGGTCATTAGACTGTTTTTCTTCCCCGTAGTATCAAGTATTATCTCGATTTGTGGAATAACATTTTAGGTGTAAAACTTAGTGAGGCTTCAAAGAAGCTTGGGAAGAAGTGTTAGTTGCAACTCACATGCATGCAAAGCAGAGAAGGATGGCGTACGACGACTTCCATCACAAGTGACGGAAGTCTGAGCTTGGCATCTCTCCCTTCTCTTCACGTTGTTGCCATTGTTGACTCTCACCAACAGAGGGTAGAAATTTTGGTGGGTTTGTTTTCCTCTCTCTCTCTCTCTCGCTCTGTGTATAAATAGAAACGGGAGGGAGAGGATGAATTGTATCAGAAAATTGAGAGAGAAATCTGTGAGTTGAGTGAGAGTTTTATCTCATTCTCTGTTTTTGTATTTTGCTTAGTTTTAGTGAAATTCTCTTTTCTGCTCCGTGGACGTAGACATTGAGCCGAACCACGTAAAGTTTGTGTTCTCTGTGTGTTTGTTTTTTATTAATTTTAGGTGTCCATAATATTAACAAGTGGTATCAGAGCTGCGTTGGGTGTCTTTTTCGAAAAACAGAGTGTGTTCTCAAAAATTGTCCAGAATTCAAAGTGGTTGAAATCTACTTTTGATCACACCAGGTTGAAGGTCTTGACGACACGAGCACAGAGGTGAAAACAGCATCGAAAAAGGATGCCGGAGGAGTCCCCACGCGCATTGTGACGACGTGATCATGCGCTTTGACACGCTACCACGTCTCCACGCGTTGTCTCCAGTTCGCCAGGCGTTGGCGTCACAACGACGACCGCTGACGTTGTCTGAGCCGCCGAGCCGAGCCGAGCTTAGCAGCTGACGCCACATTGACGTCAGGCGATCCAGAGAACTTTTCTTGTGCTTCTCAACCGCACCAAATTCTGCCGATTTGAACCGTTAAAAAGTTTTTGGCTAGATTTGAGCCGTTTGAAGTCCATTTTTGACAATCCAGCAGTGCTTTCCAACTATTTGAAATATTTCGGACTCATCCGTATGGTCAGATTTTGCAAATCAGATTTCAAAAATTTGTAGTTTTTATTTTGGCAATCCGAAGTGCCTTTTCGATTAGTTTGACCAGTCCAGACTCAACACTGAAGCCTAATTTTCAAACAGAGATCATTTTCTGTAGAGACAAGTGTTGATGGAGGACACAACGTCGACTTTGGGATCCATGATAAAGCTGACTGCTTCCAACTATGCAATCTGGAAGCCCAGAATGGAGGATGTCCTGTATTGCCGAGATTTGTTTGACCCTATTGTGCTTAATGGAGTCAAACCAGCAACGAAAAACGACAAAGACTGGAAGTGAAAGAATCAAAAAACCATTGGCCAGATTAGACAATGGATCGATCTGGACAAAGTTTGAAAGCATGTACCAATCGAAGACTACTTGGAACAATGCCCTCCTAATGAGAAGATTTGTAAATTTGAAGCTAAAAGGCGGTATCTCTGTTGCTGAACACACCAATGACTTTCAAAACCTGGTGAACCAACTGACAACTGTCAAAATGGGACTAGATGATGAGATGCAGGCCCTATTGCTGCTCAGTTCTTTGCCAAACAGTTGGGAGACGACGGTAGTGTTCCTCAGCAACTCAGCACCAGAAGGAAGACTGACCACGAACATGGTCACTGATGCTTTATTTAGTGAAGAGGCAAGAAAGAATGACATAGGTGGAGATCAATCCCATGCCCTCGTCACAGAAAATAAAGGTAGAGGTAGAGGTAGAGGTAGAGGTAGAGGTAAAGGCAGAGGCAAGGGAAGAAGCAAAAGCGAAGGACATAGCAGGGGAAGATCTCAAGATAGGGGGAAGTCCAAAGAAGGTATGAGCTAGCCGAAGTTTAAGTGTTACCACTGTGGCCAGGAGGTTCACATAAAGAAATATTGATATGCCTTGAAGGGAGAACAAAAACGAGGCACTAGACAATTAAAGACCGAAGATGGGAACACTGCAGTTACTGTGTCAGAGGATATTGCATTATTCTTTGTTGAAGAAGAAGAATGCCTCCATATGTCAAACGACACCGAGTGGGTGGTAGATACAACAGCTTCCTATCACGCTACATCTCGGAAAGAGTTTTTCAGTACGTACCAAGCTGGAGATTTTGGTATAATGAAGATAGGTAACTCCAGTTTTTCAAAGATTACGGGAATCGGTGATGTTTGCATCCAAACCAAATTTGGGTGCACGATGGTGTTGAAAGATGTCAGGCATGTTCCCGATTTACGCCTGAATCTTATCTCAGGGATAGCCTTAGATCGACAAGGCTATGAGAACTACTTCGGCAAAGGCATATGGAAGTTGAAAAAGGGATCTCTAGTGGTAGCTAGAGGACAGACAAGTGGCACACTATACAAGACTCATGCAGAGGTGAATTCAGATAGTCTCAACGTGGCAGAAGATGAGGCATCACCAAATTTGTGGCTTAAAAGACTGGGTCACATGAGTGAGAAAGGGTTGTAGATTCTGGCAAAGAAGTCTCTTATTACCTTGGCCAAAGATGCGAAATTGAATCATTGTGACAACTGCTTGTTTGGGAAGCATCATAGAGTCGCTTTCCACTCATCATCCAGAAGACAATCAGAATTGTTAAGCAGAGTATACTCTGATGTATGCGGTCCCATAGAAGTGGAATCTTTAGGTGGCAGAAAATACTTCCCGACGTTTGTTAATGATGCATCGTGGAAGGTATGGGTTTATGTCCTAAAGACCAAAGTTAAGGTGTTCTAACATTTTCAGACATTCCATGCTATGGTGGAAAGGGAGACCGGAATAAAGCTGAAGTGTCTTTGAACAGACAATGGAGGCGAGTACACGTCAAATGAGTTTGAAGCCTACTGTGCTACTAGTGGCATTCGGCATGAGAAGATTGTTCCTGGCACCCCACAACATAATGGTGTAGCCGAGAGAATGAACTGAACCATTGTGGAGAAGGTCAGATGTATGCTCAAAATGACAAAGTTGCCAAAGCCATTTTGGGGAGAAGCTGTTCGTGTTACTTGTTATTTGATCAACAGATCGCCATCAGTTCCACTAAATTTTGAGATTCTAGAAAATGTATGGTTTGGAAGGGAGATTTCTTACTCTCACTTGAGAGTGTTTGGGTGCAAAGTATTTGCACATGTCTCCAAGGAGCACAGACAGAAGCTAGATGATAAAGCTACTCCATGAATCTTTATTGGCTATGGAAATAAAGAATTTGGATGTAGACTATGGGATCCGAAAAACAAGAAGGTCATTCGAAGCTAGGATGTGGTATTTCAAGAAAGCTAGACCTTAGAAGACTTTAGGCAACCAACCAAACCCAAAGTTAATGATGTTTCAGAAATTATTCCCAATCATGCACCATCACAACATGCCACTAATGAAGAAGAGCTATCGCGGCATGCAACCAATGATGTAGAGTTGCAAGATGGTTTTCTAGAAGAAGTTTCAGAAGAAGAGGGTGTTGAGCAGGGGGAGCCACAATCCCCTCCGCTAGAAACTGTTTGTCCACAGTTACGAAGATCAACTAGAGAGTCTAAGCCGTCATCAAAATACCCTGCTTTTGAGTATATTTTGCTTACTAATGAGGGGGAGCCAGAAAGTTTTCAAGAAGCTCAGAATCATAAGGAGAAGAGTAGCTGGTAGCAAGCTATGCAAGAAGAGATGTAGTCCTTGTAGAAAGATTAGACTTATGATTTGGTAAAACTTCCCCAAGGTCAAAAAGCACTGAAGAACAAATGGGTGTTCAAGTTGAAGAAAGATGGCAACAGAAGGCTAGTCAAGTATAAGGCTCGATTGGCTGTCAAAAGTTTTGGGCAGAGGAAAGGTATTGATTTTGATGAAATCTTCTCACCAGGTGTGAAAATGACAACCATTCGAGTAGTTTTGGGACTAGCGGCCAGTTTGAATTTAGAACTTGAACAAATGGATGTGAAGACGGCATTTCTCCATGGTGATCTGTAGGAAGAAATTTACATGGAGCAACCAGAAGGCTTTGAAATAAAAGGGAAAAAAAACTTAGTTTGTAGATTGAAGAAGAGTCTATACGGCCTCAAACAAGCACCAAGACAGTGGTACAAGAAGTTTGACTCATTCATGGTGGGTCATGAGTACAAGAGAACTACTGCAGACCAGTGTGTCTGTTAGGAAATTTCTTGGTGGAAACTTCATTATACTCCTGCTCTATGTTGATGACATGTTAATTGTTGGACAAGATGCCACCGCAATCAAGTCACTGAAGAAGGAGTTATCACAGTCCTTTGACATGGACCTAGGCCCTGCACAGCAAATTTTGGACATGAAAATTATGCGTGACAGGGAAGCCAAGAAGTTATGGTTGTCAGAGGAGAAGTACATTAAACGGATGATTGAGAAGTTCAACATGAAAGATGCCAAGCCTGTCAGTACTCCGCTGGCTAATCATTTCAAGCTAAGCAAGAGTTCTTGTCCCTCCTTTACGAAAGAAAGAGAAGAGATGGAGGCTATTCCCTACTCATCCGTCGTAGGGAGTTTAATGTATGCAATGGTGTCCACCTGATCAGATATTGCTCATGCTGTTGGAGTTGTGAGCAGATTTCTTTCCAATCTAGGAAAAGAGCATTGGGAAGCAGTCAAGTGGATTCTGAGGTACCTTAAGGGTATAATCCAAAATATGTCTATGCTTAGAGGAGCAAAACCAATCTTGGAAGGCTATACGGATTCAGATATGGTAGGAGATCTTGATGGTAGAAAATCTACATCAGGAATTATGTTCACTTTCGCAGGGGGAGCTGTGTCTTGGCAGTCCAAGCTACAGAAGTGTGTTGCTTTATCCACAACCGAGGCAGAGTATATTGCCGCAGCGGAAGCTGGGAAAGAGATGTT